TTAGTCTGTCGCATATGTCGAAATATTGCATGATCAACGGCGTCTACTGTATATATCTAGAATCCACCATCGCGCATACAGTAAGCTGACTGCCCGGACAGGATTTCTTAATAATAATATGTTTATTATGCCAGTTTACAGGCAATCCCAGAATGACTACCAGGAACACTTTATTATTAATATGGGTCCGGCAGATTTGAATGTGCTGATGTGGGTTCGAATCCCACCTAGGCCGCGAATTTTTCACAATTGGTTCAATTGAATACTCTTATAAATTCAAGCATATTTTATTTTAAAAAATCCAATGCATTTTTATGCTCTTTTGATTGAAAATTACACCACCTTTAAATTTTATGTCTAAAGAATGGTTGTAAAAAAGTACTATGAAATGTTTTAAGACCGTACATCCGTCACTGTATCGGTGTTGTTTCTAAAGTATGCAACATGATCAGTATTCATTACAAAACGTATGATCACTATGTCACCTCTCTTCTATACGATTTTCTATAAACATACCCTATACAGCATGTAGTTTCGAAACCTGGAATTCAAGTTTAATAGTAGGGTTCAAAGTATTTGGCAATTCAGAAAGTTTTTAAAACCGTAACGTGCCATTTCTTAAAGTATACAACTTGAAAATGGCTTAATTTTCTGCCAAACGAGTACAAGAAAATAGATTTGAGCTTAAAAGGGCATTGAAATCAAAGAGCAAAATGCGTGCCACTCATGTCGCTATTTTTGACAGATTGTGATCTTTTCAGGCGGTAAGAAAGAAGCTTTTTTAAAAGCCGGCATCCTTTCGTGACTAAAATATTTTGAAATTAGGTTGCACGCTACTTAATATTACAACTTCGCTTAGATAACTGGTTCCAATTAAAAACACAGTTCAGAATTTCGGTTGACATTTCATGAAATAGGGAATTTACTGTAGGTCTTCACACCACGTCGGTGAGTACGTCGGGTCTCATTGCCAGGTATTTGGGAGGTTCTGACAGTCCGATGCACCAAGAGTAATCGCTTCCAAGCTCTCCAACTGTCAAGATAACTCTTCGTGGGAGTATTTTATGATGCCTGGGGGAATAGCAGCCAGGCTGGAGTGGCCCCTCGGTGTGACCCACTGGTGTAGGCTTCGAGTCCTCCCTAATAGAATCCTAGTCTGTGTATTTGGGACCAGGTAGTGTGTGTGCCTTGCGTAGATGGTCTGTTTAGCTTTGTTAACCGGTGCACCCGCGCCCACCTTCCATGTTCTTGGCTTTTGCCTATCATCGGAGCAACGTGGATGAGGTAGGCTTATTTCAGTTTACGCTACGCAAATAGACCTCGCTATAAACTGGTTCATGAGCAAGTTATTGCTGCTTTTTCCATTCGGAGGACGTCGCCCCTCACAACGGCAAAACTGCCTTGTGAGAAACGCCCACGTCATGTCTAGCGGTAATGGCCGAATAGCTGTTTGAATTTATTGCAGGATTTGGTTATGGGGTCTGCTCGTCTCGGGATTCAACGCGTAGTCCTCGCAGGCTTCTCAAGCTTGGCGTTGTGTATGGCTGGCTGATGACGATTACTTAGTCAGAAACAGCCATTCCAGTCCCCTTTGCCTCTAGCAAAACTTGCCCCTGAATTTGGCTTATGGCAAGCATGCGCGAGGTACTAAGCGAACGCGCTTGCACAACAGTGACGATGTAGCCATCATCCGACGTGGTAGTCCAGCGTCCAGCATTGAAGACACGACCGCGAGTGGGCTGACTTCCCAATCAGCACTCCTAAATTAGTCGGCTTGAATGCCCTCATACGTCCGCGGGTTCCAGCTACATTTATCTTCACTTATTCTTTTCTTCTGCTGATACCCTCTTATCTCCATATTACAAATACTCATCATTTTGCTGTTATTCTACCAGATTAATTGATAAGGACAGGCTTTCAACATTTCTTTGTTACTTAGTTAAGGATTTTCACCAAGTCTCCGTTCCTCTCTCACGAAATCTTACTGTCGTTTGGTTACCAGTGCTGAACATCTAAATTATGTACTACTATATCTCGAACCTCCGCTTGCCTCACAATTATTTCCTCCCTACCAACGCAGTATGCTTATAACAGTCTTATCTCCTTTGAATCTCTTGACAGGCAGCTGACGTCTCCCAGCCACGCTCGTCTTTCGGTCGTTCTGCCGCTACGCCGTATAGTTTTCCCTACTCTGTTTTGGAGACCTTGTTTCATGATACACTTACCTTCTTACTTGATATGGAACAAATTTAATTTTGATGAGGTGATAAAATGTTATATTTTAAACATCCCATTATGGCGCAACTGGTGAGCGGCATGGAGATGATACAGCGTGCACCGATTTCTTTCTGATGCACGACTTTCAGTTGGGTGTGGTCCTAGCGCGTCCAGAAGAATTTTGTTTGTCAATAACCAGAAACTGGTGGAATAAGTATAGGACCCGCACTAAAAGTTGGCTGCCTAGGAAGCCTCGCCCTTTCCGTTAAACAGATTGGCAGTGCTCCACGATAGGTTTGCTGTCATTAGGCGGCATAGACAAAACTCCGACAATAGCCTCACGATGGAGGAACGAAGAAACCGGCACACGTTCTTGGGTGTTTGCGTCTGCCGTTAACCCAACTGACAACAACGGTGTTCAGGAAGTCGCCAAACACTGCAGGTTGGAAACCTTTAAAGAAACCGTATATTCCGACGCTGTTCACCGTGTGTCCCACTGCCTGATTATTCACGGTCTGTGACTTACACGTGGATTAGTTTTAAGTCATGGTAGACTTGCGTTGCATCTACCGCGTTCTGTCGTTCCCCACTCACCCTTGCCCGGTGTCGTAACAGAGTCGGGGCGGGCAGTTAGAGCCAACAAGCCTGACTCAGATTCCACGGAGTGGTGGTGCCATAAGGAGGCAACAGTAGCTTATGTAGGTCCACTCATTAATCCCTACTCCCTGCATGTTTTCCTACGAAAACGGTGGTTATCACTCATTAATCCCTACAACCTGCATTTTTTCCTACGAAAACGGTGGTTATCGGGTTTCATGGGTGAGGAATTAGGACACGCAGTAGAATATACTTTAATAAATGCTAAATTCATTTTTATTTTACTGGGTCCTGGGTGGCGAGTGTCTGAGTCTGCGCCAACTCCTATTTTTGTGGGAGCGCGACCAGAATAACGCCTGCCGTACTCTGATATGACCCCTTGTCGGTCCAGTGGATCTGCAACGTGGCCTGTTTGGAGAGCATTCACGGGAACCACCCGGACGCGTGTGCACACCCACCCGGCAAACGGAAACTGAAAGTAACCGGGAGGTGTTCAGAGTGGAGGACTCTCTGCGAGCATTCATCAGGAAAAAGCCGACCAGCAATCTGTACAAAAAGATGTCGAAAACTGTGGCTAGACACCTCGGGTTGAGTGGGTCCGAGCCACCCGTAAGACCAGCTCGACGCTG